TTTATTTGAGATTGACATAGATGAAGCTACGAAATGACCATAGAAAAATTTTTGACTTCATGATGAAAAAGAAATTTTTCATTTTTGGTCTTAACTTTAGCCAATGAATCTTCCCATAAACAAAATGTTCTTGTGCTTTTTGTCGATGATGGCGAACATGAACGGGTGGTCGGCAATGAAACGGATTTCCCTAGGTGGAACCGCCGCGGCCATTAATCTTACCTGGAATCCGGTGACTGCTGCCGCCTCTGTGCCTTTCTCATCAACCTAAACAAGACCATCAGTTACCGCTGCTTCAACCTGCAAATACAAGCCAGTAATGCAGCTGTTTCGAATACAACTGCGTAAAGGTTCTGCTAGCGGAGAAAATGAGATGTGCTTTCTTTACCCTCAACTACGAAGGTGATAATGCAGAAGGTGGCTGTGGCACGATCCTCGAAGATAGCGCGCAACAGATGTCAATACAAATTAGTTTTCAAAGGTATTAATTAACTCTGACGAGTGATTTATCTCCCATTCTGCAATTATGAAAAATGTCACAGGAATTTATTGTCTCGTCTTACTGTCCTCAATTAAGCCAATTATTGATTTTAGATCAGGTGGGCAACGGCATCAGAAAATGATGTCTGCATTGATCAGGAATTTTTGTCTATCACTGGAAATATTGTATGCAGTTCTGTGTAGAAGATTCTAAGACAACTTTGCCTAGTGCTATGGATTACAGGCATTTAGTTCCGGCTTTGATCTGGAATCCAACGACAGCCATCCTTGCCACTGCTTGGATTGCAATCATGCGCCATAACCATCAAATTGTTGTCTTGTACCGTAATTCCGAAAAATGGAGCCACAAGTCAATGTGCCAGAGGTTTAAGGGTTTTATTCCTCACTCACTCACCGACAACATTTCCAATGGACCACGTCCATGGTGTTGGTGTTAGTGGACCCATCGCCAAGGTCGTACACCATTCGAATAATATTGCAGAGAATCTGTGCTCCAAGTCGCATACGTTTCGTTCGGTTTACAGGAAAGGAGAGGATGGCGCAAGAAACAGAATTTTAATGTTTATTCATAATAAAACGTGGTGGCTTTCTAGAAACCAAAAAGTATAGAGTAACAGTGTTTTTACCCTGAATTAAAACATTCGGAAAAGGTAAAAGATTGCTGTGCTGTTGCAC